ATATTGTAGTTTTATTTTGTGACACTTTTTATTTTATTTTTATTACAATATTGCATATTGGACCATGAAATAAAACAACATGAAATAGTAAAACGGCATGAAATGAAAAGGGAGTTTAAAATAAAAGTCCCTGAAATATGTAAAGTAGCTTTACAAAACAAGTGTCACGAAATAAAACTACAATATGTAATAAATAAATAAATTTAAATGTAAATAAATAAATTAACAAAATAAATAAATAAACAAAAATAATTTAAAGACATGCCAAAAATGTATTATATATTTATTGATTAAGTTTTATTTCACATGGACTTTTATTTATTTGATGGAATATTTATTAATACTTTATTAATTACATTATTTATTTATTTCATTTTGAATGAAAGGGCTCTCCATACTCCTCGTCCTTTTGGCTCCATGTGATAGCCGTGGTGAAGCTGACGTGTAACTGGGTCAATAGCTGGTCAGACAGACTCTCATGTGAATCCAATCAATCGCAACAGAAAAAAAAGAGCATATGGATAAACTGATAAGGGGATGAATGGAGAGAAGAGCGGAAGGTAACAAAGGAGGGAGGAAGACTCTACGCACATAATGATAACAGCGGGAATGGAGCGGAGAGATAAAGTGGTGCAGAGTGTGGACAGCAGAGATCCCAGAGGAGCCTGCAGAGCGTATGGAGCTTATAGCTCTGAGTGCTTTTACCCCGAGGTGGGAAAATGGAGGAACGGCTCAATGTTCAGAACAAAAAAAAAAAGGGGGCAAAAAATTAGCGCCTCATAATGTGTCGGAGCTACAACACATCGAAAACCATCAACCTATAAAAGCAGAACTGAAGATTAGCAGCTATCTGGTGCTTTTATGACGGCCTGCTGATGCATCAAACATATTCTGGATGAAGTGGTGAAGCCTGAAGGCTGAGGAACGGACATTTTGAGGGGACGTCCAAAAAATGCATGTTTTTATTCTACGTAGAGATTAAAAGAAATCTGGTGAATAATTTGGACCCTTTTTCAAATTTAATCAAGCTTTAGAAGCACCTTAAAATGAGCAATTAAAGTGGTCAGTGGAGATGCATTTACTGAATAAATTATGACTTAGTTAGAGAGCGTTTGTTGCATGGCTTATCAGTCGCTGCTAAATCAGCATTAGAAGTCACCAACACAAGATGGAGTTGCTTAGAAACTAAAATATAACACAAAAGATACCCACACACTCAGTTCTGCAGCTTCTTCCTGTGACAGAAACTCCAGCATGATTTCTGCATACAGCGGGCAAAATAAGCATTGAACACGTCACCATTTTTCTCAGTAAATATATTACTAGAGGTGCTAATGACATGAAATTTTCACCAGATGTCGGTAACAACCCAAGTGATCCATACATACAAAGAAATCAAACCATCAAGTTAATATCAGCTGGTTCAGTCCCAAATGATGGCCAGGTATCACACAAGAACCATCTGATGATGGGTAAAAGTAAAGAGCTCTCTCAAGACCTTCACAACCTTATTGTTACAAAGCATAATGATGGCATCAGTTACAGAAGAATGTCTAAACTTCTGAAGGTTCCAGTGAGCACTGTTGGGGCCATAATTCAGAAGTGGAAAGAACATTATTTCACCATAAACCGACCACGACCAGGTGCTCCTCACAAGATTTCTGACAGAGGAGTGAAAAGAATTATCAGAAGAGTTGTCCAAGAGCCAAGGACCACTTGTGGAGAGCTTCAGAAAGACCTGGAATTAGCAGGTACGATTGTTTCAAAGAAAACAATAAGTAATGCACTGAACCACCATGGCCTGTATGCACGCTCACCACGCAAGACTCCACTGCTGAAGAAACAGCATGTTGAAGCTCCTTTAAAGTTTGCTGCACAACATTTAAACAAGCCTGTGTAATACTGGGAGAATATAGTCTGGTCAGATGAGACCAACATTGAACTGTTTGGATGCCAGAATACACATCCTGTTTGGAGGTCAAATGGCACTGCACATCAGCCCAAAAACACCATACCAACAGTGAAGTTTGGAGGTGGGAACATCATGGTGTGGGGCTGTTTTTCAGCATATGGTACTGGCAAACTTCAAATAATTGAAGGAAGGATGAGTGGAAAAATGTAGAGAGATATTCTTGATAAAAATCTGCTTCCATCTACCAGGATGATGAAGATGAAACGTGGCTGGACATTTCAGCAAGACAATGAGCCCAAACACAAAGTCAAGGAAACTCTCAGTTGGTTTCAGAGAAAGAAACTAAAGCTGCTGGAATGGCCCAGCCAATCACCTGACCTGAATCCAACAGAAAATCTATGGAAAGAACTGAAGATCAGAGTTCATTGAAGAGGTCCACGAAACCTTCAAGATTTGAAGACTGTTTGTGGAAGAATGGGCCAAAATCACACCTGAGCAATGCATGCCACTAGTTTCTCCATACAGGAGGCGTCTTGAAGCTGTCATTGACAACAAAGACTTTTGTACAAAGTATTAGATAAATTTCAGTAAGTGTGTTCAATACTTTTCCCCTGTGCCATTCCACATTATTACAAATAACTTCATTTCTGGACATTTATGGTTTGATTTCTTTGTATGTATGGATCACTTGGGTTGTTACCRACATCTGGTGAAAATTTCATGTCATTAGCACCTCTAGTAATATATTTACTGAGAAAAATGGTGACGTGTTCAATACTTATTTTACCCGCTGTATTTACATTTCTAAACTTTACTTCATCCATTCATGATTTCTTGTAAATCAGCTCCAAACATTAAAAAGCAGGTGATGATTCAACATACGACAGTTCTGATCCATCAGGTTCTGTGGCTAACTTATGAAGAGTTACCATCTTACCTGCAGTAGATCGCTCCCTCAGTTTGGAGAAACAGTTTAATTCTGACCAGACTGATGAGCTAAAGGCTAGTCAGAGTGGGGGCTCAGAGCACAATGTTCTGCTGTCGACTTAAAATAACTCCCATCGATAAAAAATGTCAGTATTTCAAACAAAAACAGTCAGTTTTACGTTAAACAGTTGTTGAATTTATGCTTATTTACGCAAGCAAATAGCTTCTCTGTGGCATATTTTTGCCAAATTTAGCCAAAATGAAAACAAAAACAAAAAAATCCTAATTATGGGAGTTCTTTAAAGCAGGGCTTCTCAAACATTTTGGGTCTTGGGGCCCTTACAGGTGAAAGAAATCCAGGGACTGCCTCAAAATCTTCATGTTGATTAAAAACTATACTGCTATTTTAACCCTTAAATGCCATTAGAATAATAGTTGGTTTTGTTAGATGTTTTTTTTTTTTTTTACTGGTCCCTATTAGTAAAAATGGACTTCTTTAAATTGAATTCTATGAATAATTTATTGTAATTTATTTTGGGGACCCCCAAGCTACAGCTCCTGGACCCCTCGGGGTCATCAGGCTAAAACATCTGAAGAAAAATGTAAAACTGACCTGAAGGTTAGTTTTTTATTCCTCACGGATCCATTTTTCTTCCTCCTCCTTTATATTCTTCAGATCTCAGTCAACATCTTCCGCACTCTTCCTCCCAGTGAGAACCCAGAGTTTGACCCAGAGGAAGATGAGCCGACACTGGAAGCATCGTGGCCACATCTGCAGGTACGCAAACACACAAAAATCTGCAGGTACGCAAACACACACAAATATCTGCAGGTTTAGGTAGAGCGTCTTATTTCATGTTCTTATTTTTGACTAAAAACCTCGATTATGAGAGTTTCAGAATGTATTTCAGTGAAATCCAGGCAGCCTCAAGCCTTACAGAATTTTTATGTTTTATGCTTAGTTTATACCTTATAAGAAAGTTTTGTAGTTTATATAAAACAATTTCCTGTCGTCTCTGCCCTCAGCTGGTGTACGAGTTTTTTCTGCGATTCCTTGAAAGCCCAGACTTCCAGCCCTCCATGGCCAAACGCTACATCGACCAGAAATTTGTTTTGCAGGTAAATCAAAACGTTTGTCTCAAAACTTCCAGGATAAATAAAAAAAAGAGGAGAGCAACACTTCTGAAGCTGACCTACTCAGTTCAGATTAGTTCAGAGAAAAGAAAACCTGCCGTAGGAGCAGGGAGCTCAGAGTTAACGCAGTCCAGGCAGGTGCAGGTTTTGTAGCTGTAACGATGTTGTGTTTGTGTTTGGAGCTCCTGGAGCTGTTTGACAGCGAGGACCCCCGGGAGAGGGAGTACCTGAAGACCATCCTGCACCGTGTTTACGGAAAATTACTGGGCCTTCGAGCTTACATCCGCAAACAGATCAACAACATCTTCCTCAGGTACAGTGCTACCATCACACACACACACAAAAAAAATGAAACTGACTTATTGCTTATTTATGCCTTTTTTATGCCATAGTAACCAAACCTTCACCTGCAGTAAAAATACTTCATTTTTTTTTTGCTCTCGTGATTTTTTCAGGTTCATTTATGAAACTGAGCACTTCAACGGCGTGGCTGAGCTGCTGGAGATCCTCGGCAGGTTTGTTTGAAACAAACACATCTTTACATAATTTGTTTTCTACGACAGGGGCGGAGCTAGACTTTTTTTGGAAAGGGGTGGCAGAGGTGTTCTGTTTTTTTGTAGAAGTAGCCAAAAACAATCTTTACCAAGTTCTAACTTCTAATCAAAAATTCAAGATGGCCACCACAGCTAACTTTAAAAGGCTTTAATTCAACCATTTTAAGACTTATTGAAATTAAATTTATTGTGGAGTAGATAAGAACGATCACATTCTTATCATCCATGCTAATCCCAAATTAAGCTAACCACTAATGCTAACGCTAATTTTACAAATAATTCAGCTATTTTTAAACATACACAACTAAACCTACAGTACTATCAGAGAACAGTCTAAACCAATCTACACCCCCTTGCCACCCCAGCTACCCCTCTGGCTCCGCCCCTGTCTACAACTGATCTGGAGCCAAGATGGCCGCCACAGATTATTAACTTTAGCAAACAGAAAAACACCTCCAACTCTGTTAGTTCAACATATTGAGCTGAAATTCATGGCGGTAGCAGCTGAGTCGTCTCCATCACGCTCCGAGCGCTAAGAGAGAAGTGACACATAAAGGAACAATTCCAAACCGCCACGTCGTCAGGTAATGATGATAAATGACGTGTGGCGAGGAAAGACGAGGAAGACGAGGAGTTCAAGGTGAGAGGAGAGAGAGAAAGATGGAGGGGGGGGGGGATGAGTGAGTCAGAGGTGCAGGGAGGAGAGACAAGAGAGGAGAGAGAGAGGTTTGTATTCATGTTGTTGGTAACAGAGGTATTTATAGCTCCTCCCACACATGAAGAGGACGAGGAATCGAGGGGATGAAGAACCAGAGAGAGAGGAAGAGGAAGAGTACGACAAGGATGAGAGAGGAGCAGGGAACAGATTAGAAGAGCAGCGGGAGAGGAAGATTACTGAAGGAACGCTCCGATAAACAAAGATGATGTCAGAAATCAAGACAGACAGACAGGTACACAGACAGACAGGTACACAGACAGACAGGTACACAGACAGACAGACAGGTACACAGACAGACAGACAGGTACACAGACAGACAGA